CAATTGAGGAGAATTAAATGAAAAAAAATGTCATGCAATTAAATGAATGAAATGAAGGGCCAATTGTTGCATTAAATTGTATAATTATTATTTTTTTAAGTAATTAATTATTTATAATACAATGAATGGACAAGATAATTCCATTATAAATAAAATGAATGGTCAAGATTTGATGGGGGTGGAAACTCAAGCCCCTTTTATAATAGTAGTATAGATATTATTAACTCCTTTCTTTTCTAGAACTCCCTAGGGTACTTCTCTTGAAACTTTATTATATGCTTTATCTAAATCAACAAATATAATATGTATGTCTTTCTTAGTCTCTCTATACTTCTTCATCAAACCTCTTAACAAATGTATAACTTTCATGGTAGACCTACCCGGCATGAATCCAAACTAATTTTGAAAAACATTAGTGCCACATCATAGCCTATGCTCAATTAATCTCCCATAATTTTAATGTAAGACACATTAACTTAATTTCTTTATAATTTGCACACTCTTGTGCATCACCTTTATTTATAAAATAGGAACCAACATACTCATTCATTTATTTGACATGTTTTTAATTTTCAAAATAATATTAGTATCAAATAAGAAGAATAAATTTATTAGTCAAATTACAGAACAAGAGGATGTGCCAGCAAATGTTAGAAAGGAAACAGAGGGTTCACGGATCCATTATTTACAAGGAAATGCCCCTCCCATGAATTCACAATCAAGAAAGAAAGAAATGAAGCATTGAATTGCTCATTTGACATCACTTGGCTTGCATAATTGGATCCAACGACAGGCAAGGAAGGGGCGGATAACATTATTAGGATTTTTTTTCCTTTTGGGTTATTGTAATTAATTATTTCCTTATCTACTTTTGTAGTTTTGTGTATAAATACATTCTAGAATATTATTTCCCAGCCACTTTTTCTCTACTATAGCTCATTGGCTATTCATTGGCATGTGGATGCATGTTGGTTCTGTTCCTTAAAATTTGTCTATTTGAGTTATTCATAGAATTATACAGAACTAGTACTTTTGTTGAAATTTATTGATTTAAGCTGTAAGTTATAATCGTAGTTGGTAACTAACATGTAGCTGAACTGTAGTGCCACAATAGTGAAACATGTCTTATCAACCATATTTAAACGTTTGAGCTTCAACTCTCATGGAGGGTTTTTGGAGCATCGATGATCAGAGAAATTGGTAAAACCAAGAGAAAGTTGCAACAATGAACTCTGTCAAGGCTTCTTTTCTAGCAATGGCTATGGCACGGTTTGTCTGTAGAGAGGCTGAGACCTTTTTAGTGGTGAGGCCATAGATGGGCTGGTGCCCATCCTTCTTCTAACCTGCTCGGACCTCCATCAACATCCTGTATAGTATCTTACCTTCATTATGTAGGGATTTATGTTGTAGTTGGAGGAGTTTCTGGGTTATATAGAAGAAAAGAAGAGGTTAAAGTAGTTGTAAAATCCGTGGAAGTTGAGTTGGCTTGGAAGGAGTTATGAGAGGGGAATCTTAGCAGAGGTTAACTTCTTTGATTTTATTACAAAAAATGATAGCTGCCATGATCCGGTTTGAAGGCTTGAATTAATAAGTCAGAACTAGACAATTAGACGGTTATTTAAAATTCCGTTCTCTTACTTTAGTAATGATAAACTATTTCTAACAATCAGTTAAAGTCAATAAAACCTCAAACGTATTTTAAAGAAAAAACCTATAATTAATTTAAGTAAATATTTCTCTCTCGGAGTGTCATGTCTATGATGTAGGTTTGCTCATCTTGCACTTATTTAAATTTTCTTCAGATGATACTTTTGTATATTTGTGCAATGATAGGGTGAGTTATTACACAACTCAATGAGTACATCATATTTCTAAATTACAGTAAAATAATAAACTTTGAACAATATGCATGCTTGCTTTCATGAATGAAATCAAATAACTTTATTGAATAATAATTGTATTTTAAAATTGATTTTTGTAAGTGATCATGTATTATATATTATGCATAAATAATACTCAAATCATATTTTATAACTGATACAAGCATTATAGCAGTTGTTGTCTAGTAATTGATCATGTATTATAGGTGTGTTATTACACAACTTATTGAGCATATAATGTTTCTAAATTAAAGTAACACAACAAAATTTTGAACAATATACATGCTTGCTTTCACACATGAAATGGAATAACTTCATTGAATACTATGATGCACAGACACGGACACGGCGACACGAACACGACATGGCATGATACCACACAGGACACATCAATTATTGAAAATATATGACACACATACGAGTTAGCCATGACATTATAATTTTAATATTTTAAAAATAGTGTATATAAATCAAATAAATAGAATATTAAGAATAATTGGGAAATAACAAGTCATTTAACTAGGATCTTTGCTTAAAATAATTAATAATAGGATGTCGAGAGTCTGGTGTGGATGTCATGTCATGCATTGAGATGGGAGAGGACAATGCTGTCGAGAGTTGGACGTCATGATTATATAATGGGCATCGGACATCGATGTCTAGGGCTGCAAAATCGGGTCACAGGCTGGGTTCGAGTCCAACCCGATTTTGACCTGACTCGAACCCGACCCGGTTTGAAAATTGGTTCAAAACCCTTAGATTTTGTCTTCCCATCTACTGATGGAACCGACACAGTCAAATCGAAATATTACAATAGCTAATAGAGATGGAACAATATTTTGGTCTTACAGTTTACCTATAGTAAGGACAGCTAATAGAGATTGTGGCAGACTTTATTATTATTTTAAAATTCTAATTTGAATTGTAATAGATTTATGGAATAGGTTCATTGGTTGGGTGAGAAAATGTCTAGTGTGAAATTGGACATTGCTTGAGAGAGATACAATAGATTAAGCAGTCTTCTAAGAAAATCAAGTGAGAACTTCTAAATTAATTTTTTGGTGATTAGATATTATACTTATTTTCTCTCATTGACAAAAAGGATTATTGATACAATTTAATTATCTTCTAGGACTAAGAGCAACATCGCTCTCACATTTCTATGAAGCTTCATCTTCTTTTCTTTTAATGATATTTTGAGAGTCCATGTGAAATCAGTTATAAGTGTCCAGGTACTAGCCAGGCTCACTAGTAGTACTTGCCAATTAGATGATTTTGTCGTCAAATGTGATTAATGGAGCGAAGTAGCTATTTGATTTCAACTTGCATGCATGCTCCACTTCAATGAGTACAAAATTGTTGGAATGGATCCATGTTTATGCTTTAAATTTTACATCTTTTGATGCAGAACTTGTTAATTAACCATTCTCATTCCTAATCCTATAGAGCACTCCTCAAAGGAGAATTCTTCTTATGGTGGAGATAATGCAGTGCACTGCACCACCAACATAAAGCTCCATGTCATTAATATTTGATGCACCATCATAGTCACCTATGAAATGCTGTGCTTGATTTGCTTTTTTTTTTCTAAGCAAGAGGGTGCTTTATATAGTAGATTCTGTCATAATATAGTTTTTTTCTCATGAAAGTTCCCTAATTTATTCCTATTGATTTCTCCTTGATTATTTCCCTTGTACTTTTCTTTTATGACTCTGAATAGTACAGCTCAAATAACAGAATTGATTTCCAGAAGAAATTAGAATGCTGTTACTTTCCTGGCTAGCATGGTATTGGTTAGAAGATGAGACTTCTCATGTTTGCAGGACCCAAGAACTTGTTGCATTATCTGGAGCTCATACGCTAGGAAGCAAAGGCTTTGGAAATCCTAATGTGTTCGATAATGCCTACTACAAAATTCTTCTCGAGAAACCATGGTCAACTTCAGGTCAATTTTCAACTTCTATGATCCTTAGTATTTGCTTTCGGTGTTTGCTGCAACTTGTATAAATGAAAAATGTTTGTTATCTACAAGATTTAATGTTTGCCGATAACACCATAAAATATAATATTAAGCCCATTATTGTTAATTTGCAATAGGAGAATTCATTGATAAAATGTTATCAATTTTATGAATTTATGGTCCTTAATCAATCATAATTTAATGAATGGTAAAGCTGGGATGCCAAAAAAGTCCATGCTTGGCTCAATAACTTCGCTATGCTCAGTGAAAAAAAGTTGCTTGGGTTAGACTTATTTGATTATTAAACAAGTTAATATTTAACAAAAAATTTCAACTGTTCACTAAAAGAGTAGAACAAAAGCAAGATCCAGTTTAATTATGTTTGACTTTATAAGAGCTCGATATATTCCAATATCTATATAGCATTGAAGGAGAAAGATATAATGCTTCAAGCTTAAAAGAGAGAATGTATTTTTATATGGATATTGTTAATTTTTCGTTCAATCTTATTTTATCTATTCTCATTCATGCTACATCAAATTGTAGAATCAAAATCATTCATCTTTTGTTATCTTAATCAACATCATGAAAAATTGTAGGATGTCAGCTTCATGAAATTCAGGTATGCATCAAACATGTAAACATAACACCCTAATGGAGAATCTAGATGGTAAGATGAATTATTCATTACTTATTCAAATTAATCCAAAAAAATTTAGCATATTTATTTTCACTGGATTTAATTTTAAATTATTTCTAGTGAAGGGCATTATGAGCTGTTATTTTTCATTAAGCTTGATTAATGTTCAATCTTTTTTAAAAAAGTGATGAATTAGATTATCAACTTATTTTTTATATTGTTGATTAACAACTATGATCTTCATCTTATTTGAACATAATAGCATAAAAGATAATTTCATAGAGAATGAACTTTTTTTCATGCAAATTGACAATAGTCCACTCCCATTGTCTCACCTATTTATTGGTGTGCACACATCCTTGGAATATAATCACTATTCTCTACCCATTTATATTTCAATGTTATAAATTTTAAATGTACGATAAAAATTCATGTTTATTAACATCATTTAGACTAATACCATGATTTTAAGAACAAGATCATTAATCAAATACATCAAAATTTTCTCTATGAATTAATTTGATTTCATGATCAGGTAATTATGGTTTTAATGTATGATGACTTTCAAATGGCTTGGAATTAAATTCATTTGTCATCTCGGTCTGTGTGCTATCACTTCGCACACAACTTTTTTTTTTCGCATGATAACCCATACAATATGGGTGTCTTTTCCAAGTAATATTGACATTTCAAACGCAACAGCAAAAGTATGTTTTGCAAATATGTGATCTATGGGCGACTTCGCGCAACATCGCATCTGAAGTTAGTTGTTTTCAACATCATTCATTTGATTTGATCGTGAAAGTTCCCTCTTGAATGTTCTTTATTTTTCGAACACTACAATGCAATTTGTTTAGCGAATAGATGACATTCGGGCGATTTTGCGCAACATCGGGCTCGTAGATCATCGTTTTCATAGTCACTTGATCGAGTTGCGTGAGAATAGTTTTTCTTAGATAAATTTGTCGTTTTAGACATGTCAATGCACTCCATTTTGTAAACGGATGAAATTTGAGTAGTTTTTACAACGTTGAGCCATTTTGACCTATATTATGTGATGTCACATTTGTCGAATGTTTTTCTTGTCATACTCACTCGAGTTGATTGCATCACATGTATGGAGGTCAACATGCTTACGTGGACTCTTTTGTATCATGTAATTTGCCTTACTGTTAGTGTAATGTATATTAGCTTGAATGCAAAGGAAATGATGCATATGAATGCTTGCATTTGCATGTTGAAAGTTGAGTCGCTCTTGTGGGCTCCGAAAATTCGGCCCCGGCCTCCCCTTGCTTTTCTTTTTATTCGGCGAGGGAGTTTTAACTGATTAAGTTCCGGGGTAAATTTTGGAAGGCAGATGAGTTTGTAGATAAGACATTACCTAGAGATTTCGCTCTCATTTTACGAGGACTTTATGATATGAGTTCTAGTTTCCTATAGGCGCAAGCCCCTATAGTTAATTTCCCCTCCCGGTCACGAGAGAGAACTTTCGGTTAAGGCTAGTCGTCAATCAGATACGTAGGATATACGTGTTATCTGACATATAGTAGCAGCATAGGTATTTGAAATGGTTTGGAAAGTTTGATTGGAGAATTTAGGAATTTGTTATTTAAAATAGAAATTGCACCATCTTGCACTTAAAATCGGATGATGGGGGAATGGATGATGGACCCGATCAAGATCCCATGGTTCCGTCGTCCCGGGCCATCGTGGTCCCTGGTCTACTTGGTCAGAGGAGGTAGTCGACCCAACCTGACAGAAGGATCATTGTCGGCAACCATGGGTTGCTTCGTCCAAGGGTACCTTATAGACCTGGGTTGGATGTTTGTCTAAGGGGACAAATTTGAATCCACCTTAGCTAACAGAGGGCTTTGTGCCCTATCGATCATATCCTATTGATTCATATCTCAAAGATTTGATGCCAATAAGGAACGTATTGGCTCTGGCCATAACCGGTATATCGTGGTGCCATTT